TATTAATTCCAATAGTTACTCCACTATAAACTTGGAATCACACTCTCAAAATTATAGACATTAATTACTTCTAAACTGTGAAGTATTCATTTGATATAGTCATTACATATAGATCAATCCTCCATAAATAATTCATAATTAGAGTCAGGTAAAATCCGTTAACCTCTCTAATTATATCTTCATCCTTGAGTACCATTGATTCTCTAATGGATAGTGATTCATAAAACACATTCATGAACCAGAGCGCTCTTACTAATCCAAGTACCGAATCAACACTTAAGAGAATTATTTATCTACTTTTTTCTCAAGAAGGAATGGATTCCATCTTGTATAATAAAATTCTCAGCTACCTATTTCATTATGTCTCCAAAATACAAGGAATAGGATTCAGGGTCTCAGAATCCATACCGAATAAATCAAAAGACATAAATCCATAAATAAAAGTTTGTTAAGAACTCAGGATTAAGATCATCCTATATATGACCATCAGTAGACTCAATTAGAATTTCTATGCTTAACAGAAATTATTAGAAATTCATATTGTGTCTGTGTCCTTGTTCCACATAATCTTATTATGCGAAATACACTCATTCAATATCTCGCCATATTAACAGTGCGGATAACACCGTTCCATTCTAAATGGGAATGACATGTATTAATAATGTTTTAATTAAAAATTCCAAACTTTAATTAAATTCATCATGAACAATGTTTTTTATTATTATCCTTAAACACTATCATCTCGTATATAACACTTATATACTATGTTTAAGGTTACATAAACAATCACGGAATTTTCATTTGATATTCATAAAATATTCATAAATATATGCACATAAAATGATGAATAAACTTTTTTATTAATTAAATAATAAATATCTTATTACATCTCATGCTTCTATGACACTATTCCCAACAGGAACTTTGTCGTCAACTACCAGTTCGGGACCTAAAGGATCGTCGTGGAGTTTCTTGAAGAAGAATGAGAAAACGACAGGATCATCCTTAACACAAGCGTCTACGGAACTAGTCAAATATTTTGAAGCAAATTTTGTAATCGATGACGACAAACTAGACACCTTACAGTGGTGGAAGAGCAAGACCGATCGTTTTCCAACACTGTCCATAATAGCTCATGACATTTTTACAACTCCAGTGTCAACGGTAGCATCGGAGCAAGCTTTTAGCGCAAGCAACCGAATTCTTGACGAGAAGAGAAGCAGAATGCATCCAGATATCTTGGAGGGACTAATGTGCGTTAAAGACTGGGAAGATGCGAGAAGACGAAAACAACAATACACAAATGATTCGATGCAAGAATATTTTTCTAACTTAGAAATAACAGAATCTTCTGGAAGCACTTAAGTTTGTAATTTACTATTCCTAGCTACTGCACTCTTTTTTCCTTTGTTAAGGTTTTGTCCCGATCTCCCCACGGGTTTTACTTAGCAAGGTTTTTAACGAAGCAATCATTTATGTGTACTCCTATTACGTCAATTCAATAAAATCACATATTTTGGGGCATATGATATATTTTTTTAATTAAATTTAAAAAAAATACAAGGGCCGGGGCCGGCCCGTGAAGGGCCTGGGCCCAGGCCCGGCCCTGGCCCTTATGGACTAGGGCCAAGGGCTTGGACTGGGCCTGAGTTTTTCTTCTCAGGCCCGGCCCAGGCATGGCCCAAACTCGTAATGGGCCTGGGGTCAAGCGTGCCGTGCCGGCCCAGTACGGCATGTTTGACAACACTATTGCTGGGTCTGCTACCTCTATTTATAGATAGGATCCCTCCATTCTCTCAAGTCGTGGATCTATCCACTCACTAAGACACGTAAGTAGCGGGATAGTTTGGGCACTGACACCTGTCTTCGCACGTTCACTGAGGGATCATCTGAGACCATGGGCAGTTTTAGGCCTATTGTTGCGGAGTGAAGATGAACTCCCGAGAGGGATCGACTCACCATCTATGGTATGGCTCGACTGCGCTAGCGGCCTCTCGTAATTGGGCTGCCTGTATTACTTTAATCAAGCCGATTCTGTTCATTGGGCTCAATTAACTGGGCCTGTGTCCAAGTTCATGGCCTTCGTGGACTCAATCTTCAGTCTTCTTGTTGGGTTTGATGAAGGGAAATAATAGAAAATAGGTCAATATGAAAAGCTTAAGAAAGTATATATGCCAATTTTTAGTTATAGACATTAATAGGCCATAACTTGTCAAGTTATGGTTCATAACCAGATAAGTTATGGATAAACTTGTCAAGTTATAGTTCATAACCAGACAAGTTATGGACAATTATGGACAATAACTTGTCAAGTTATGGTTCATAACCAGACTAGTTATGGACGAAAACAGTAGTTTGGCCTATTTATTAACTTATATAAACTATTGACTTATTAACTTTAATTCATCTCAAATCTTGGCATATTTTCCCTCTTTCTCCTTTGATGAAAGCCCCAATCGGACACCAACAGGGGTTTTTTTTTCTCTTAAACAAAGCCTCACTATGCCCACTGTTTTCTGCCATCGTCCTCAGACCAATAATACACTATGCCCACTGTTTGCAGCACTGACTCCTCCCAACGATCTCTGATCCCAGCCCAATAATATGTTTTTTTCTTTTTCTATTTTTTGTCTGAGAAAACTCAAACTATCAGCTATAGCTTCGAGACCCTCAATAATATGTAGGATTAATGCAGAATGGTACTCTCGAGTAGTGCTGCATTTTATTGTATCCATAAAAACATAGTGCATATAAAGATATATATATATATATATATATATAGCAACCAAAATAACGATAAATAATCAAAGTCCTTCGTATTCTTAGATGTTGATTCCAACCCCACAAATACATCGATATATATATATATATATCTTGGATTATGGGTTTCTTGATCATTAAGCTAGCGGAATTTGTTTTCCTTCTTTCAACAAAATAAATCAAAGAACAATGACTATGCAGAAGTTAATATTTGGAAGGTCAAGTTTACTTGGTTTGAATTTTCCTTGAAAGATTTATGGTTGATTGATTTATAATCAAAAACTTTTTTCTTACCTTGGTTTGAAAGGAAAAGATTTTTTCTTACCTTGATAAATGAAAATTGTTTTAACTGTCAAGAAATTAATCTCTAACAACAGTAATTTGGGGTGACAATCATAGGATACATAAATTAATCATAACATATTCACTTATATCAACTAAGTAGTGCATTTCCACGTGGCCTAGTGAAGCAAGCATTGGACCCACAAAATTAGCTTCTCAAAGTGAAAGAGGTGCTTCCTTATTGTGTAAACATGACAAGTGTAGAGCAATGCAGCCAATGTTACCACACCGAAGGATATCAATATCAATATCCAGAAATCCTGATCAAACATATTATAGCATGAGCAACTGTTCAAAAAATGTTACTAAATGTTTGAAGCAAAAGGGTGTGTGATGTTCATAAACATGCAAAATTACCTGTGGATTCGAGATGAGTATTCCCATGACATAACCCATCAAATCCATGCTCGATTGAAGAGAGTTCTGAACACCTCCTACCACACAACGATCCGACTCCGGAACATAATCCTTTCAAATGTGGCAAAAAACCAAAAACAAAAGAAGAGGAAGAAGTGAAACTAGTTAGGTATACACGAATAAATATGAATAGGGTTTTGTCTCCGATCATTCATTCATCAAGAACCAGCCTAATAGTACAACATGGGCCTATTTAGTGCGCATGATTAGGGAGGACTGTATAAAATGAAATTTTAATGCTGTGTTTAGCGAACATTTTAAAGGACTTTTTTGTCCAATTCATGAGATAACTTTTAACTAGAGTTTATTCCAATCCAGTCATTTACAAGTTAGCTGAAATTTGAAGATGGAAGGAAGAGGAAAAGGAGAAGAAACAACTATAAAAGGGACTCGAGGTGAATAAAAGTATGTTGATTTTTCTCTCACTGGCTGTGTCTTATTTCTCTAAATAACCAAGTATTTATAGACTTCTTGCCCTTAGGAATATCTAAAACCAACCTCTTGATTTATATAGTGGATTTCTTGAATTTGATCAGATTTTGCATGCCTTACAGTTATCATTGAGGCTGGTTAGGTGTCAAACATCATTCGACACTTTGACACTTATTCTTGATGCTATCCAGTTGTTGAAAAGTTGTTTGAAACATGATTTTTATTGTCAAGTTGATAGTTTAAAATACTTGATTTTCTTTAGCAACCAGCACCTTTTAATAGCTTTTTTAGTTGTCAAATTTTTTAAACTAAAATTCAAGTTATTACTAAGATTAGTTTAGAAAAGCTTATAACTAACAGCTGTAAAAGGACAACCACAATAGGGTTCAAAAGTGTTAGTTGCTGAATAAAATTAAATATTTTAAAGGGCTATTGGCTAGACAACAAAAAATCAGGTTTCAAACAACCATTCAATAGCTACACAACTCAAAGAACAAGTGTCAAATGCCGTTCAACACCTAACCAGTCTAAAAAATAAGTGTCAAATGGTGTTTGACACCTAATCAGCCTCAATAACAGTTGGCAAAGGGCATGCAAAACCTTATCAGCTTCAAGAAAACCACTATACAAATCAAGAGATTGGCTTTAGAAGTTTCTAAGGGTAAGAAGTCTATAAATACTCAGTCATTTTAGAGAAACAAGATACAATCAACCAAAAAGAAAAATCAGTAAACTTTCACTCCCCTTTAGTTCTTTCTTCTCCTTTCACTCTTCCTTCCATCTTCAAATTTCAGCCAAGTATATCAACCGTCTAAGTCCTAGATACATATATCTCTTTCTTTCTTTCTTATTCTAAACAATCAAAAAGTCCCTGTAGATATCAAATAAGATCAAGATCCTAATCTAAAAGCTATTGAGCTACAAAGCCTAAATTTTCAGTTATGCGTGTTATTTACACTTAAAATATGTCTTTATAATAAAAGCTATTCATAATCTAATTCATGCTTGTTTCATTTAGCTATTGTCTCTTTCCTTTTCAGAATTTTTACATTTAATGTAATTTATTATCTGTCATTTATTTAATATTATTTTCCAATTCTATGAACTGCTCCATGTTTTATTTTCATTTCTTTTAGTTGATTAATTCAGTTATCCGATCATGTTCTTTTATTTTCTAATTAATCCAGTTACCATGTCCTTTTATTTTATTTTCATGTTGATCTAATTATCTAGTTCTTTTGTTTAAATTTATGTGTAATTCTAGTCTGCTGGTCTAGTTTATTATTCTTCCGTTTTTCAATCTAATCCTTTGTGTTTATGCACTTTTATTTTTACTAACTTAATACCCTTAATGTATTATGGTTATCATTTTTATTAGTGTCAAAAAGAGTAGTTCTAATTTTATCACAAATAAAATCTAAATCATTGTGAGAAAATATACTATACAAAAAAGGTCGAAAATATGGTTTAAACTACGAACCAATTGTCTATTGTTAATATTTCTGAAAATCTAACGGTAAGAATAGTGTTCTACTTTGACACACAAGTGTTTTTTTTTAATTATTATTATTATTATTATTTTTCCTCTTACTTGCATTTGTTGAATTACAGATAAGTCAAAAGACCACAACCCAAGCCGAGATAATGCCACTCCTGCCATCAGCATATTCGCAGATATGATGCTATTTTGAGCCCATATTGAAGCCACACAAACCAGGAGGCAGATCCACTACATGTGAACCAAGCCAAGAAGACATTTCTTAGTTGTCTTTAGGAAAAATGAACAAGAAATTACTAAAATTTATTCACGACAATCACTCTGAAGTGCTTTTTTATGTGTGGTGAAGTTTTTACCTGAGACCAAATAGACCAGAGTCCTGTTCTAAGTGTTAAAATACGAGACTGCAAAATTGGGTACACGAGTGTTGCAGCAATGCCGATCACGGCGCTAATACCGCGCGCTATTCCGATGACAAACGCTGGTATCCCTTCCCATTCTAGGGTAGCTGTCATTAATGTTCCAAAACTAAAACACACATGAACCATTTAGTAAGTGAATGAAAAGCCACAAGAAAAACCACAAACTCATGTTGATCAGAGGGAAGTTTGTGGGATATACTTAAATGTCCCAGTGGTAGAACTTTTTAGTTGTTTATACTCATTCCCCCTTATAAAAATTGTTGTTTTTATAGATTTCAGCCAAGAACTATAATACACATCATGAGAAATTTAATCATAAATTAACAAAATTTTGTCCCTTTCTTTTACATATAACAAGTTATATTTTAGTTTTATGATATATTATGAAACTATATATTGTTTTCCTTCAGCTAATAAGAAAAGAAAAAGGTTTCACCTGAGAACAGTGAAATATAACAAAGCCAGAGCTATTCCAGGAAATACAACATCTTCCTGCAAATATACTCTCCATGCATTAAGATATGGAACATTTGAAACCAATTTAGTAACTTTTGTTATGAAACTTTCCTCCATCACTTCTGCACTGTCCTGGTCATGAGAAAGAAAACTTTTTCTCTGCCGATGAGAAACGGATTTTCTATCTTCACTATCACTTTGTGAAGATATTCTCGAGGCCCTCCTCTGGCTACTTTGTTCTAAAGCTGGAATCCCGTTATACACGGAGATGAAAAGCCAATATTCCATCCAAACTGATATAGTATTCCATAGAACCAAGGTCAGAGCGGAAGCTTTTAGTGACACAAAACTGATAATGAAGCCAGTAACCACAGGAGCACATAGCTTGCAAGTGAGATCAATGCGTCTGATGACCGAGTTCATCTTCGTTAGATGGTCGGGCGAATGCCCTTCTGATATCACCACAATCCTAATTCATTATGAACATTGAATTAATGAAACATATATACATGTTGTCATTTTCAAGATCATGAGTTGAACACGTTATAATACGGGATTCTCTATGTTTTATTGAAATGTTGCATTTCATCCTATGTTTACGCTGCATCTGTTTCCTACATTTTTTAAGTTCTATAAATTGTGTTAAGACTATCTCTTGCATTCTACTAATCGCTTTAAAACCTGTCCTGGTAAATTGTGTAAAAACCATCCCCAAACACGATTTGTAGAATATAGGGTTAGATGCTGCATTCCTGCAAACATCGGGTGATACGCATCATTTTGATTAAACACATAAGAGGTTTTTGTCATTATCCTTAAAATGTGAGTCTTTCGGGTGATGTTAGGAATTCATGTAAGCTCGACGAGTAGAATAGTATGAACAAGGTTCGAGTTCTTTCCGATTACCACTCTCTTTCGATTAGGATGGTGCCGGCAAGAGTGGAAAGCACTCCAATTGCTCCAGAGATGTTTGTTAATATCACAAGAAAAACGAATCCACTGAAGTTCTCCAACTTCAACGTTGAGTAAACAATTAATGCCACCACAGCGCCTCCAGCAACTATGAAAGAGAGATTTTGTGTTACCAACCAAAGTTGGAGAACCTGCCAAGTACAATTTTATATGTAAATTTGATTTAGGACTAAGAAAGAAAAGAGAATCCAGGGAGAAAAAAGAACCAAGATATAGACGTAGAACCACTAGAGAGAAGAATAGAACTAAAGCCGAGAAAAAGCTTGCAACATGATATAAAATACTAAATGAACAACTAAAAATTGGCATTTTTTGAGACCTTTTTATATGTCAATCTATCCACCAATTGTCCAAGAATGGGTCCAAATAGTGCAGTAGAGGCAGATTCCACCACACCATAAATAGCAGCAAATAACAAAGAGTCTGGCCAAAGGCTTATCATGTACAACCCAACTGAGAATTCCCACATCCTGATTAAAACGCCACAAAAAAAAAAAGCATAAGCCCCTTCAAATGCTGGATTTTCTACCGCTTTTGAGAACAAACAAAGCCATATTAGGAAATGAAATAACCATCCGTGATCATAACATTAAACCTGATAAGAACTATAAGGAACTGAAGAATACTAAAGGGAAATAACTCAAAAAGTACATATATATATATATATATGTGTGGGTGTGTGTGTGTATATATATATAGACTATATGTATAGGCACACACAAACAAACCTGGCACCCCATCTGGCCAAGAAGTGAGCAACATATAGATATCTGATGAGAGTCGATGGGAAAGAATGTGTTTGAGAATTACAAGGTTGTTGTTGTTGCTCTTCTACTTCTTGGATAAGCGGTTCGTTCAAGTTATACATGTGAGTTTTTCTTCTGTAATTCAGTGTTTCTTTTAGCTCCTCCACTTTCTGAGTTCTAATTAGCTTGACCCTTAAAGCGGTTTACAGAACAGCTATGAGGGATTCTTGTTTGATTTGATTAGGTGGCTCTGACATGTTGATAATACTAACAAGGAATGAAGACAAATTGATACTTGACAAGGAGAAGTATCACTTTCTAGGAATAACTTGTAATATTAATTTATTTATTCTTGTAAGAGTAATAACTAGTGTGGTTACGGGGTGCAAAATCTCTGCACCACTGAGGAGTAGTTAGAAACTTAGAACATGGTTTTAAAGTTTAAAAGCAGCAAGAGTATGGCCGATTATTACTGTCCAGAGAATCTTTTGCCTTGTCTTTTGGATCTTTTCATCTTTTGCAAAATTTTTCGATTTATTATTTTTTTGGTACATAAAAATTTCGTGAGTTTTGTGTATATTTGACCATGATATTGATATTAAATAACATGCACCATTATGAAATAATCCTATGACAGAAAAACCGAAATAACACTTTCAAATTAGATAGATGGTAATATTAGACGCAATATTTCCTTAGAGGACAGCTTCTGAACTGGGATGATAATATGTTCAAATTCGATTAGTTGACTTTAGCTAATAAACCGTGGAGTTTAATAACAGGACATTCTAGGTAGGATCACTCACTATGGTATTGATCGCGGCTATTAAATTTAAATCAGACGGTGTATATATTATATGGGGATGAATAGGACGGATCATGGATACTTTGAGGATTTTTTAGATTGTACTGTTACATCCACCTCATAAATGTCTTCTAATTTGCATTATAAAATTAAGGTGGATAACTCTTGTGGTGGGGTGCCTTGCCATATAATTTTTCTTATTATTACTTTTAATTTCCAAGTCAAAATAGATTAAATATTTGGAATACTTACTTTGCAAATGCCACCTAAAATGTCCAAGTCAAAATAGATTAAATATTTGGAATACTTACTTTGCAAATGCCACCTAAAATGTCCAAGTCAAAATAGATTAAATATTTGGAATACTTACTTTGCAAATGCCACCTAAAAGAAATTAAAGATATTGAAGTGTCCAATTAGAAGCTAGCTTAACATTAAAGGGCAGATGAATAAGAGGTCCAATAATCAAATCTTCTTTAAGTTCATTAATAGTTGAAATAGGGCCTTCTGCTCCTCAGTCTTCTACTTCAATAATAGGACGGTAATTTTTACAACTACCCCCTCAAAATGTTACATCAACTTATGATTAACCCCGCAAATATTAGCTTTTTTATTTCTACCTCTTTAAATTACAATTAATCAAATGGCCCATTAATAGATTACCAAAATACCCTTAATGATGTATTGCTAATTTAAAAGATCCCGGCGGCATCTTCGGTCCCCGGCTGGCTGCCGCCGGGACCTCCAGTTGTCGGCTGGCGGAGTCTCCAGTCATGGCCAGTGGGTCTTCGGTGGCCAGCGCCGGCCATAATCTGTCAGGCTATATGATCCATAATGTGCCAGACTATGACCCATAGTCTGTCACAGACTATATCTCATAGTCTGCCATACTATATCTCATAGTCTGCCAGACTATAACCCATAGCCTGACAGGTTATGCCGGCCGTAGGTCTCTGGTTGCCGGCATTGGCCATAGTCCATCAGACTATGACCCATAGTCTCACAATTTATGTTAGCCACGGGTCTCCGGTTGCCGGTGCCGGTTATAACCTGTCAGACTATGATCCATAGTCTGTTAGACTGATAGACTATGACCCATAGTCTGCCAAATTATGACAAACTATGATCCATAGTTTGTTAGGTTACGCTAAATTACAATTTCACATTGAGCAGCAATTTACCGGTTCCCAATAATAAAAAAAATTACATAAAATTAGGAATTTCATATTACAAAAGAAAAGACACAAAATTTCAAAATCCATAAACGACAGTTCTTTAGATACCGTACCCAAGAAAAGACCATTAGAATAAAACCATGCGAAAAAAAATAGTTATTAAAAGAGATAAAGTTGCCTACACTACTTCCAGTCTCGGAAACATAAATCGTTGATGAATAAGTTTTCAAATAAGTGCATTAGATCTTTATTGCCGGATGTATGCTGCGTTCACTGAAATGTATGTTCCCAATCTCTTAGATATATTAACATCTCAACAATTTCTAAACCTAATGAATAAGTCCTTGTATTGCATTATCATCGGTGTTGATGACGGAGGCACACAACTTGAATTAATGATGAGCTAGAACTACTTCGCTGAGAAGTAATATAATTCCAAGTTGCGTTTGTTGAGTCAAGTTGTTTTCATAAATGGCATAAACCTCGTACAATTTCTCATGTGTGTTAGTAATATGTGGATAATCTATACTCAAATGCACACCAACATGAGGAAGAATGTTTACAAGACCGAATAATTTGTATACTATCCAAAGTAAAAGCCAAACAATACAAAAGAAGAATTTCGAACCAATATTTTCTAAGCTTTGCTCTTATCACTTCTACCATGCATTTGAATAATTGATCTCCTCTGTACGTTCCAAAACAACGTTATAATCTCAACAATTTGATGCAACACCAATAGAGAAGTAAGATAATTAACATCGGATAATAAAATAGTAAAATCACAAAAAACTTTCAAAAAATTCACAATTCATTTGGCAATGAACTAGTCATATTCTTGCGACATTCTAGATTTTTTGTTTTGTAAAACACAATGATAACATTTTTATACACTAATGCATGCTTTAACATCAAATAAGTTGAACCTCGTGTAACAAGCATATCAAGTCTAAACTTTCGAGGCTTCATATTTTATGCTTTACAATACCTCCCAAATTCAATAATGCAATCCAAAAAAGGGCATCTTGACTATTATTAATTGTAGTTCTTACCAAATCCATACCTAATTCGACAATGAAGTTGATTATATAAATGCACACCTTTAATGTAACAAAATTCTACCGGTTTATTAGTTTATAATACTCTTGAGCATAGGAACCACCCTTGTACTAGCTGAGGCTTTATATAGAGTGATGGAAATAATTTAATCTCGTATGTCGAAATCTTTAATCACACTTACAATTCTCTTAATAATATTATCAGCATTATGTTTATCACGACATTCTGAATGGAATAATGTTATATTACGATGGTTGGCTGCCTGTCCATCCCAGGTGACTAGCTACCGACATTGCACGTGCGATTTTTGATAAATTGGATGCAAAAGAAGTTTATAAGCTAATAAATGGTGCCATTGCGTATATTGGAGATTAGTAACTTCTATTTATTGAGCTTTAGCTTGTGTAATTCTTGTGATCCAAGTTAGTAAGAGTTGCTGATTTAACACGACTAAGAGTTAATTGAGTATAAGACTTTATAGTCCTATCTCCTATGACTATTATTAAGATCTTGAAATTGTTTTTTATTTTCATTTTAGTTGCTTCAAAAAATATAAAATCTGGAATCATTTTTTTAAAATTTTAATATTTAATTACTAGACTTTATAATGTGTGAGAAAGCTCCACATCTTTATAGCTCTAATGAAAGTTGAAATTATTATGCAGTTTTTTAATTTTCTTCGTGATTGTAATTGAGATTAAGAAAGTTCATGAGATGTAGTGCGGCTATATCAAGCTAGACATGGACAAAATTACAAATGAGCAAGCTTAGGGGCGTTTGAACAAAAAAAAAGACGAGAATATTATACACTTCTTTTTAACTGCATAATTAGTTCAGAGTATGTAATCGAAGCTGCTTATAATTACAAGGAAGATTAGGGATTTACAATTCGAGATTAGCAAGTATGAAATCGGATAGTTTGAGCACTAAAGAGGAGGCAAATGCATGTTTACAATACACATATGTTGTGTAATGATCTCGAGGAATTGATCAAAGAATCCACGCTAAACACAATAAGAAGAGAACCCATACCAATACAAAATTCATCCTCATCCAAATTATTTACCTTATTCTCTCACTCACTAAACATAGCCTTATGTGGACCTTTTGAAGTGAAGAAATCTCCGCTGTGTGACTAAACTACGATTGCTAAATAAAAGTATTACCAAAGATGTAGCACCAACAGATTTTACACAGGCCAACTGGAAAATATTATGTATAATACGAACAATCCTCTCATTTCATTCGGAACAAGGAGTCAAAACTTGATGAAGCAAGAGAGATTTTTCCCCTTCTTGCCATTAGTAAGTTATGTATTGGGAAATATTACATATAACTGACGCAAACACACCACTCGATTACTTGCGACACCCTCCCCCAAGCAAAAAAAAAGACTATAATAATAATTATTATTATTATTATAATTATAACTCAACTTGTGAAGTAGTTCATTCGTACAAATTATAACCCTAAAACAAAATTATTTGCCATACCGTTTCTTTCTTTTTTGTTGTATTTTAAGACTCGTAACTCATCTGAGATGAAGCAGTATATCTAAATCTTATATCCTATACATGATCTACCTCATTCACGGACTTTTATCTGACATTCTTCCAAGTCCAAGGCTCGCAGTTCACATGGTCAATTGGTGTTTAGCACATGTTGTGTGTGACATGAATGGGTCAGAGTGCAAGTTCGTTTTCCTGCAGAAAGCGACAAAACCCGAGATTAGCCAAATATGTTCAACGAAAACTATCAAAGCTTCCAAAAAAACGTTTTACACTATGAGAAATTAGTCACCTTAGGGCATAGCAGTTCAAGGTTCATGTCCATTCAAAATGAAATTACAATATTGTCCTGGCTTAAATATCACTTGTCCACTTCTTCAGGGATAATTGGCTTTCCCAGATAGACTTGTCGCATCTCCTCTCTCCAGATCTGCAAGCATTGTAATCCATAATCCAATGGTGTTACTTCTTAATATTTCCCTAGAGGATTTCTCTCAACAACAAATACATAACTAAGAAAAAAGTAAAACACCAGTGGATAGCATCCGCGTGCGTCGACAGCAATATGACAAAAACACAAGAACAAACAGTGACTAGAACCAGGGAGGGAGAGAAAGAGCAGTGAGAGTAAGGAGAGGAAACCCTAAGCATGAGAATTAACAGCTAGAAAAAGACTTGAGAGAAAAAGCAGTCAGAGAGCAAGAACAAGGGGTGAAAACACTACGAATTACAAGCAGAAAAACTGTCCCATCAAAATCAACAAATAGGACCCATACCGTGTCACGAAATTCCAGCCGAATATGAGGCACATTCGTTTTGTGGATATCATTCCCATCTGGTCCTCTCTTGTAATTCTCTTTCCCAATCCAGTGGGACTGTAAAGGAGAGATCAGATCAAGAAAAATACATAACGTGTTAATGCCTCATAACTTTTTCTTCAATACAAGAGTTAATGCTTCAATGAATTTAGATTGCAAAACCTACTTGGGAAAACCAACTTGGGAAAGTAAATTAAAAACCCAATTCTACTTATGCAGCTTGCAATAATCCAATTTGCTAAAGGTTTAAAACTGCATAATCATGCTTTAGTTGACCCCTGCTCTATGCAATTCTTATCCATGTATATATCTGTGTAAGTGCATACAAGTGTCTTGAAGAAAATAGGGCCAGTAACCAGATCTGAAATCCAAAGAGTTGAAGACAGATGATCTTTTTACAGACACAATCCCCATTCTGTAATCAGCTAGAATTTTCCGGCACAATATACAGAATAATGGAAAACTGCAGCTGTTGAGATATAAAAACTATTGTTGCCCACCTTCGAACAAGTTAAGCTTTTTGGGAATTAATTGGTAAACTGACATTGTAAGAAGGAGGTCTTGAGTTCAAACCTCTATAATTGCACTCTATATCCTCTTTAAGTTTTTCATCATGTGGGGTCTTTAATATGTTTCAGCTTGTTATTTAACAAGCGGGCTCTCAAAACCCGTAGTCCAACCCACATGTGAGGTGAGGAGGGTTTAAATTATAAAATCTATTGTTGACCAACCTCCTAAAAGTTTAAGCTTTTGGGATGAATTTGTAAACTAACACCAACATAAACACAAGGCCAATAAATCTTCAAAATCTACAGATAAGCTATATTGTCCCAAAGTTCCAGCTCATATAGAACTATTCCTTTGGAAAAGCTTCACTTTCACAAATGGACTTCCTCATTTATCAACATCCCCAACAGAGAAAAATAAGTATGATTACGTACCTTAAGAGCGTGTGAAAAACCTGACTGGTAAACTGAATTACGAGCAATTTCACACAGATCACATGAACTTAACTTCCAGACCTGTAAAGGATGAGGATGACCTCAGTAAATTCACCTCTGGTAACCGCAAGATACCATTTTGATTGTAGTGAGAGAGAGAGAGAGGAACTCACAGAAGCTGCTATGCTATACTCTTCAACCAATGGTTCTTTTGTTAAGTGGATTTGGAGAGGATCATCAGTAGAAAGGGATACATTGAGACCTCGTAAGAAAAACATTGGGAAAGGATTCCGATGGTAGTCTAAAAATAAGGAGTTGTTGCTCAGTGGAGACATGGCAAGACCAATCTGATAAAACCGAAAAATATTGAAGACAGTAAGAAATTGCACAACAGAATTAAGTTAATAAAACACTGGCACAATGGCCCCTTTCTTCTAACCTGTGCCAGATAATAGAGATACTGAAGAACGGGAGATTTTCTCAAATTGATTCCATGTGCAATGTTATGAGCTGTAAGAAAGGTTGCAGCGAGGTGGTCTATGTCACCGGCCTGAAAACATATCATGTGTGAACCGCAATTACAGTCATCTATACGTCAAAGCAAGAATGAAAAGAGAAAATTGCTGAATACCTCCCCAGAATGTGGACGAAATTTGATGGTTGTCATGCCCTTTGATTCACGAAGCTGGAAATAAAACCTAGATGGTTAGCATTTCAGAGATACGTGGGGAGAAGGCCAAAAGTATCCCGAAACTACAGCCAAAGTCAGAGCTACAGACTAAGAAAACCAACACCAAGGTGTTTAAGAGATGACTCTAGCAAATAAACTAAAAGGACAGATCAAAAGCAACATCAAAGTTCAAGATCCCAGAACCCAGCCACTATAAACTATTGGCAAAATGATCGAGCACACTAGAAATATAGAAGCGTCCATAGATGCTTCCATCATTACTCTAGCAATTACGCATTTGCATGTTAAAAATACGAAATTAAGATAGCCTAAAAAGCGGCGTAGAGGTTAGCATAGCAAGATTCTGAGATCCCTAAACCCCAAACCTATGTGGTGGTATAATACACAACACTACATTCGAATCATAAAATACCTTATTTAAGGTATAGAGATTAGCATAACAGTAATACACATAGTACGAAAAGGCAGGATTGAACGCGTTGGTCCACTGAGATGGAGTGGGCATGTGTTTTGTCGGGCGTCGTTCAGGCTTGCTTTCATCATCGACCAAATCTAACCCAACAACCTGAAAGTTCAAAACAAATTAATTGGATGATGTGGTGGATAGCCAAGATAGCGAGCCAGAATAACTGAATAAGTACCCACTGAAAACAAATATTGTTCACTCAAGTTCAGTAAAGCATAAATATACATAACTTTTTTGCACTTGCATGGGAAAGAGCACCTTCATAACACAACTGTAGCAATTCTACAGAGATTGCAACTTTACAGCAATAACATAAGGTTGACTTTCAACTTCGAATGATAGAAAAGTAAAGAAATTGAACTAACATCCAAACTGGAAATCAGGACATTGTAAACGAAAGATAGAAAACCTGTTTGAGGAAAACATGCAACTGAGGATGAGAATCTGGATCCACGGTGACCTCAAAAAGAGGAATAAATATGTTGTCAAGAATATTCTGAAAAGAGGTGACTATTCCCATTTCCTTGTAAATATTATATAGTCTTGGAAGCTGAAAGGAGGAAAAAGCAAATAAGAAATAGTGAAATACAATAATTCTTAAAGTAACACCAAAATTAAGTCAATGCCATATAAGTTCTAAATTTAATTATGCCAAAAAAGGAAAAACAGAAGGGAAACAACCTTAAACGTTGAAAGATGCAACATGCTTTATAATCAGGACTGAACCAGATAGCATACTAAACAGTTGCCGTCCCATTAAACAGAAAGGCTCAATTTCCATTAAAGTAAAAGAGCCAAAAAGTCTACTAAGCTCGAAAAGGTAAAATCAAAGAGCCACAAAATTATTTGAGAGAATTCACCTGGTGTCCAGGCAAAAGGCAATGAATTTCATACAGAACAAATTAAAGCTTCCATGATGTCTAAAAGTGGAAGCAATGTGAATTAAAAACTTTTAACATGGTATAAAGCACCAAAAAAAAAAAAGGACAAATGTTTTACGAAATCTATTTTATTATCAGATAAATGAATGTGCATGAAAGGTATGCACATACAATACATAAATATATAGATATATATAACTCACACACACACACACACTATTTATATATAGTTATATAGTGTAGTTTTCTCCCAATACCTGAATTAACCAAACAACATTGTCACTGTACAATTCATTATTAACTATCCAGCTGGCTAGTTGGTCCCACTCACTTTGCTTCCTACCATATATTGATATCCGGTACTCAGCCATCTGCAACAACAAAATGGAGCGAAACAGAGGGATAAGCACGGTAAAGATATGCTACACAGTGGAATGGCAAAAGGAAGAGAGAATACATCAGCTTGACTATTTGAAGGCAACATGCATTCAAAAAGAAAAACGGAAAGTTAATTTAAGAACCTAAAAGCCTTGTCAAAAATCTCTACAATCTGTTGCAAAAGATGCCATGATGCAGAACTGGCATAAGATGTTAAAACATGATTGTAACTCTCAATGCATATAATTGACATCCTTATCAACAGTTGGGAAAAGCCTCCAGCATACTATATAGTCTCATGACAAGAACCAGCAGAACCATATACGAGCAGAACTGTTTCAACTTTAACATCCATCAAAACTACTCAGCCAAAAATGTTATCCCGAAATACAGTGTGGGAATCAACTATATGAGTCTATGACTAGTGGATTCCAAAGTTTCGCATTAACATAGACATTAATGGGATTGGACTATAGAAAGAAGGTATATTTTTTCTTTTAAAAAAAAAAAAAAAAAAAGTGCAGATAGCACAGCAATTAATGTACCTGATATTTGCTAGCAGAGAGATCCAAGAAAACTTGCTTTGTCAGCTCAGCAAGGAAACGACCTGTTCATAGGGATGCAGTACACCACAAATCAGTCAACCGTATATACACCATGACACGAATGATCAACAATATATTCAAGAGAAGCAAGAAGAACAGCAAAATGTATTAACTATATATTATTCTTTAAGAAACAAAAAGGAACACTGTCCCGTTGCTTGCACTTTATAGAAACTAATTCCCATATAGAACCACTGCACAAAAACTTTTTAGATGTCCAGATAGAATGGGACAAGAAGTGCATTCTACATGTGGTCTTTTGAAGGGAAAAAAAAAAAAACTCTTCACAAATTCAGCATAATGCAGCCATGTTATTGTCCAAGATTAGAACATATAAAAGAAACTAATCTTCTCTAATGTTCCAGTCCATCAAAAATCAAAATCAAATCAATTTTACAAATTCTAAGATATAAAAGAAACTACAATTGCGAATGTATTTATTAAATTAAGTTTTATCGTTCTTTATTATTCTTCAAAAATATATTGGGGAAAAAATCCTTGTTGCTTACAGCTTTCTTTAATTATGTTTTCACAGGAACAATAAAGTTAATGCATGCCGTTTATTTACTTCAATTCTAACATAAATATGCTTATGATGCATACAGATACATCAGTCACATAGAAAAAATTATATAGTGTAACCAAACTTGCAAACTTATGACGCCCAAATCAACTCGTTATCAGTGTAAATGTAATCAAGAAAACAAAATAATTATACCTTGAATAAGATTATCCTGCTTAAGGAAAATCTCCCTGAGCCTACTTTGACCACAGGGATTGTATTTAAGATTAAACTTATCAAAACGATGAAATGTGCTCTTGTCTGCATGAACATCCAGAAGATCAACATTCAGGTCATACCTGTCCAGAACAGATTGGAAAAGAGATCACCTTTCTGAGCAAAAATAAATATAAAAGATACGTGAAGAAATTGATATCATAAATAGTAAATATTTATCCATTTTCGTCATAAACAAAGAGGTAGTAGAAGAAATTACCCAGTCAGATCCAAGCTCTCAAAAACTTCTTTCAAGGTCAAGTATGTTCCATCTCTAAATATTACAACCTAAACAGAAACAGGAAAACCAAGGCATCAGTTGATCTCAAATGCAGGGCCTTCCCCCAAAATCGAAAGAGGAAAGTTCCAATTATAACCAATTTCTAAAAAAATATTTAGATGTCAGGTTTGAAATTTGTTAAGTTTAAACAAGGTTAAATACACCCAGCATTCATGAAATAGATAAGAACTAAAAAACCACACTTGATAACAAAAACATATTAGCAGATTATATTACCTCATCAGGTTCTTTCCTCAGCTTTGACTTTATAAACCTCAAAAGATGTTTCTGATTCATGCACGCTGAGTGATGAACGTGTGTATCAACTTTCCTGACATTATAAAAATCACGATGTGGAGCACTTTTCTGAGCCAAAAATTCCCTATCCGCATTAAGCATCAAGTGAAGATTGAATTTCTGAACAGTATACAAATAAGCGTATTGTCAAGAAACTGTGACACTGTGTAACACAATAAGAATTAATTAAATATAGAAACTTTACTTGTTCTAGAAGATTCAGTCTGTGATGGCATAAAGTTCTGATGTTCCCAGCTGCTATAACTCGGAGTATGTGGTGCAGATCAGTGAAAAAGGTTGTGGCATCAGCAAGAGGGAAAAGCTCTTCTTTTGCTGTCAAAAAAAAAAAAGACAAGATAAATAAATGAAAGTGAATAAAAAATAATAATAAAAAAAAAACCTTTGGAAGATTTTTTTTCCTTTTTTTTAATTTAAAAAGAAATGAGATAGAAAGAGAGTTTTCCAACAACAACGGACAGATATGGAAATGAAGGGCTCCGATCCTTACAATCTTTATTTGCATAAACATGAGTGACACCATCTTGCATCTCAAAATAATGCTGCACAACAAAACAGATGTTTTAATGAACAAAAATAGAACTCAAAAACAAACATTAGTCAGTAGTAGAATGGAATACCAGAACCAAATGTTAACACTCACATCAGACTTTCCCTCGGGAGCATAAAAGAATGGAGCTGGATTAGGCTTTGGTGTGCTGGGGTCAGATATAATTTCTTTCTCCCATGGAGCAACTGCTTCTCTGAACAGATATCTTTTTCTCAATTCAAGACATTCTTGTAGAACCACATAGGATTCCACTTCATCAGGTGATGGTACCTCTGGTAGAAATAAAAATCGACAAAAAAACCAGAAAATATCATACTCAACATCCAGTATCTGACTATCAATTTTAAAAGCAACTCCTAGAAGTATCAAGATTATGTGAGAAAGGAGAAGCAGAGAAAGATTTTTCGATATTGGCCCATAAATGTATGCATATCCATATGCAGGCATAAGGTGGTGAGTGGCCAATTCCAAAATAAACTGATCCTGCAGTTTAAGCTCGTATACTATCCTAAAATTTTAATCTTCATCCTTTGTCGTTTACTTTGTATGCTAAAACGTGCAATCTTGCACTATATTTTATTAGCAAATACCTTCTGCAGAAGCTGAGAAATGAATTAGAAAAAAGGACCATCCACGAACGAAATACATTTACCTGTGATTCAAACATACCCAACTTTTTATGTGGATACATAAACTTTTTTTTCTTTTTTTAAAAAGAAACTCAGAACTATATTGATAAATGCAGCCAAGCTGTGCATGTCAAGGAAGGAGGACAAGCAATCAATACCAGTAGGCGTAATCTTAAGTCGTGCAAAGGTTTCTTGTTCTGGCTCTTTCCTCAGAATATCAGCCGCAATTGGGTCAGGCTGAACACCATGCAGGTCACCAGAGACGCTATGAGATCGAATCATACTTGAAGCAGCTATAGGAATTTGTTCCCCATTTCCATTAACGTGATTTGGTAAATTCTCATATAGGCTTTTACACTCTGGGACCTGCACATGTAAACAGTCCCTCATATCAACAAATAGTTCCTAGAGTAACTAAAAAATTGAATACAAACAACTCCTGCGAATTAAATTCAGAGAAAAAAAAAACTAAAGGAGAAAAGAGTAATTTTTTTCCTAACAAAAGATAATATGCAGGCACGCCATGTTACCTCATCAACAGTAAAAGTATAATTTCTTCTTATAATTACAAAATAAACTAACCGCATTTCCATTAGCGTGGATATACGAAGTGTCCAGCTTAGAGTTATCGGTCATATTATCTTCATCATCTGAACCTTCTACACTCTCAAAGGCACTAGCACTTGCAACAGGGGACTTGGGGGAAGTTGGTCTCAGAAGGCCACTACTTCTCTTGGCCGCGCCAACATGCAAAGCTGCTTTCCCTGAATGGAAAAATATTATAACTTGTGCACGTTCCCAGCGTTGTATTTCAATAGTTGATAAATGATCAAACCCCAAAAATATAATTACCATTTACTAGTTGTTGAAATGGTTATCCAATTCCAAGGTCATATTCTTGGTAATTATGATGACGATGACACAGAAACCAAATACAATACTAAACTCAACAAAGTTTGACTCCAATTAGCATTAAAGCACCAAAGAAAAAAGATTGCCAAACAGTGTTTCCCCTCCGGAACAATTCGTGGAATGCACTAAAATTCCAATCCAATACATACGATTACATACATGGCACATAGTCGTTGATAATTCTAAAAAACAGTCTTGGCGGAAAGCTAAAGCACGAAAACTAAAATCCAAATGAAGAATTACTATCGCCATCAGTATCACTCTGGTGGCAAGTCCGAATCCATACCTTCAGGAAGCGTGTGGAGCCTCGGCAACCCCGGGGGAATACCTTCGATGGGCACGGGACCGTTTCGCCTCTCCTCGCCGCCGTCAATCCCACCGGAAATCACCGTCACGTCGGGCAACGACGCCGAGCCTCGCCGGTAATATCCACTCACCTTCCGCCGCGCGTGGTGGCCACCACGGCGCTTCTTCAAATGCTGGGGCGAATCGCCGTCGGAGTTGTGGTTGATGTGGTTGGTGTCCTCGTCTCTCTCCCTCTCCACCGTTTTGGCAAACTCCAGAAGCTGCGTTAGGGTTTTGCGGTGCATATAGTAGGCCGAAACCGCCACGAAGGAGGCTCCGACGAGAGCCGCCATGGCCAAATGCAGAGCGTAAGCATCCATTGAGCGAATGATGAATGAAACCCCTCCTCACTTTCTCTCTCTAGAAAATCCCTTTCTCTCTCTCTCTCTCTCTCTCTCTCTCTCAGCAATGGAAAAAGGTAAACCCTACAAAGGAGCCTTTTTTAGTTTGGTAGAGCAGAGAAGACAGAAGAGAACAACAGAAACAGATAGTGCTTTTCTCTGCTGTTTTTGGTGTTTGTATTCGAAACACGAGAGGCATTTGCTTCAATATTTATAGGAGGATGCGCAGCGCAGGGGCAATCTCACTCACTATAGCACATATTCTCTCTCTAACCTTCTTTAATTTATTTATTTATTTACGGAATATTTATGTATAATATTATGTTTTTTTGCTTTTCGGTGGTGGGGAAAATAAGAAAATTGTTCCAAGTGCTTGCTGCGTATTATCATCGATTTTTATTTTATTTCGTACAATGAAATAGTTATTAATCTCATAAATAGTCCTCCAGGTTTAATCTCAATCTCATTTTAATCTTTAATTTTTAACGTCACATAATTAGTCATTGAGATTTTATTTTATTTCAGTTTCGGTCTTTCTATTAGTTTAGTGTTATATATTTGACAAAATCTATAGAAATTATTGGCTAAAATTAAAAACATATAAAGTTTAAAGACTAAAAAAATAAAAAAAAATAAAACCAAATTTTAATTTTCAAGATAGACTCAAAATTTTGACTGTTTCTAATTTTAGACTCTAATTTACACGGATTCTATCAAATTTTAATGCCTAGTTGATAGAAGACCGAAATTAAAACAAAATAAAACATCAAGACGTTTGAAAAGTCAGCGATTAAAATGAAATTGAGTGTAAACCTTAAGGATCATTTGTAACCCTTAATATTAATTTGTTTTTGGTAATAATATGTCATTATGTCTTTTCTGAGCAACTAGTTGAGCCACTACTATGCACATAGAGAATAACTTTATAAGTTTGATCACGCATTAAAATATATAGTCGCCTTATAAACTAAGTCCATTAATTAGAGTAAGAGAAAGAAAGATATTTTGAGAAATCATATCAAAAAAATAATTGAAGTTATATAGGAATTTTTGTTAAGAAAAAACTTAAGTAGGAGAAATTTGAAAGGAATTATTTTAATTAAAAAATGTGAGAAAAAGAAAGTATTTTAAAAAAATGAATTGTCAAAAAATATTAGAAGAAAAACAAAAAGAAAAGACAATAAGGAAAAGAAAAGATGGAAAAAATAAAAAAAAATAAAGAGGAAAAGAGGAATAGTTTAAAAAAAGAAAAAAGAATTAAAGTTGTAGAAGAGTTTTTTTTTTTAAAAAAGACATATTTGAAATGAATTATTTTAATTAAAAATTTAAAAAATGAATGAATTTTAAAGAAAGATACTGTAAAAAATGAAATATTAAAGAATATTAGAGGAAAAAGGAAAAAAAGAATAGGTAAAAGAAAAGAAGAAAGAAAAAAAAAGAAAAAAGAAAGAGGTAAAGCACAAAAAAGAGAGAAGAAAAAAAGAAGGAGAACGAGCCAACATGTGACTAGCCTCATTAGGAGTCAAGTCCACTTGGTTGTGTATTTTAGATGTTAGATTGAATGTATACGTTAGATTGAATGCATATGTAGTCGTTTATAGATTAAACTATAAAATAGTACTCAGCAAAATAAAAAATAAAAAAGAAAGAATATTAGAAAAGAGCAAAACATAATTAAAAAATAAAGATAAAAAAGTATTAAAAAAAAAGAGTTGCTGCTGTGTGGCAGTTAGAGAAGTGTTCTACATAAACACTGTAAAAGAAATGTGTAAAGATAATTTTTGATATGACAGAAATATACAGAAAAAAATTAAGTAGGGACGTGCAAGTCAAGTCCCTTCGATTCGGCCATAAGAGACGGTTATGGAATAGTCTTTTGTATAATTGAAGAAAATTATTTTGATCATTGACAAAAAAATAGAAATGCATGCAAAAAAAATCACTTTTATAAGAGTAAAGAGAGGAAAAATATATTTTAAATATCAAAAAATTAACTGCAAAAAATATAACAAATTGTGTGTAAACAATATCATGTTTTTTTTTTTTTTTGCGTGCTTGAAGATAAACCAAATTGTGTGTAAATAAGTGATATAGCTATACAAAAGGTTTAGGATAAGAATTTGTTGGGAATTTATTGGGCGCGTTTAAAATTAGTTTCTAAATTATTTTATTTTTAATAAAAAGTAAAAATGAGATTGTTTTTAGAATTATTCTGTAACCGATTATCAAAATTGCGTTTGGTTGGTTTTTTAAGAAATTATTTTAAGTATAATAAAAAAAGTAAAATCATGTTTATTAATTAATATATTATAATATTATTGCTAAGTACTAAAAAATGAAAATAGAAAAGTGAAAACAATTTTGAATTGTTTTCTAAGTCTTTCAAAAAAGTCATTCTCACTGTTTTTATTTTCATTTTTGTTTTCAAAACATTTGCTAAACAAACGTCGTTTTATTTTTTGCTTCTCAAAATACATGAAAACTGTTTTTAAAAATGGTTCCAAACACGCACATTATTTTCCTTGGAACATGATAAGATTTTAGTCATGGACACTATCGGTAAAAACAAAGACATGATCTAGAGTAGAACATGAGATTGTTTTTCGTTTGTTTTTTTATTTTTTTTTAAAGAGAAATTGCAATATAAATGAGACATATAGTATTGTCAATGATCCCAAAAAACTCAACCATGTAGATTAACCAGTTCCACCAGTAATTATAAATAAAACACTCAATGAGACAAAATGGGTAACAGGTTTTAACAACGAAAAACCAAATAGCTACACTAAATAATAAGCACACATGTAGCTCTTTTAATAATCTAGGTGATTTATCCACGACCAAGATGAAGCTTGGGTGAAACCAAATGGAGATCCGAACTGACTAATATTGAAGAATCAACGGATGATTTGTGTTTAGCGATGAAGTGTCACTCAAATTTAGAGTTAGTTGGTTCTTCCTGAAATAAGTTGATTTACAGCGACTAACTCCATAATCAATGTTCAATTAACTAAGATCAAGAGACTTATAGCACTAAGGCTACACACTATACTGTATAGAAGCAAATCTAGGAGACTAAAAATACAGCCTACATCAAAAATATAAGAACCACCTTCGTTATTACACAACAAAACCAAAATACATGCCAGAGATATGCAAATAATGAATTCTACACCGCCGTTAGTAGAAAAATATAAGTAACACACATAACACAAGCCGGTGCCAAACATCAACAGGTGCACGTGCCTCACCAGAAGAATCGTGACGCCAAGAATGAAAAACCCTGAGTTGTAGCTCAGACACATTCAAAACTAGCAGTCGAACAAGCCAAGACCTCCCCACAATCAAGCATCAAAACCCAACCAAAAACCAACCTCACCTTCCACCAGCATCATCAGCAAGTCATCCATGCTCCTCAAGATGCTGCAAAAAAGTTTGGAGTCCGATGACCCACCCAAAGGCAACTTTGAACTTCGGCCCTCCATGAAGCAAATGAGCAGCGCAGGAAAGGAAATGTCATCGGAGGCTATTTTGGTTTTCTAATTTTTCCTCAAGTTGAGAATGGATTTAATAAATTTGGGGTCCGTTTGATTTATGGGTTCAAATTATGGTTCATTATTTTCATTTTTTAAATTTAAATTTTTTGTAAGAGAAAAACATTATAACATGACTAATAACCATAGTTTTAACCATGTAGGATCCTTAAAATAAACAGATCCATGTTGATTTGAACTACACATAAATAGTCACCGAGCCTTCTCCAATATAGAGGGGGAGGGGAGTAAAAATTATATATATTCATGCGAGGGTATGATAAAAATTAGATTTTTCAAGGACTTAAGTTTTTATCTTAAAAATTCAACCTGTTAAGTGGGTAAATTCTTGATAAATTGATGTTTATCATTTTGTTTAAGGGACATTCTCTAGTACTTCAACACATCGATAGGCCAGGTTTTCTAACTGTTGAATCTGCATAAAATCACGTAAAAATAAAAAAAGTATGCATATCTAATGATTAAAAAAACCTAACATATTAGTGCAATGACGTACCAGAGAATTTTTCTTTATTTAAAGAATATGCGGGTTTGTTTTTATACTTTATAAGGAGAGGATTGAACTTTTATGTGTATATATATATATATATATATCAATACTTAAGATGTTTAATTAAGAGTTAAATTTTTGAATAGTCCTTAAACTTTTTGTTGCTCATTCTACAATTAGTCTTTATAATCACTTTATTTTATAAATAGTCCATGAACTCAAAAAGTATAAATGGTTCTTTTATTAAATTTTAGATGAAAATTGTTAATTTTATCTCATAAAAAGTCCTTAAATTATTATTACTCTTTAAGAATAGTGTTTATGTTAAGAGTTGTACTAAATTTAATCCCTAAATTGAAAAAAAAAATACTAAAACTAGTTATTTTTTAAATAAGTAGATAGAAAACATTAAATAAAGAAGCTGTACAAAATTTAGTTCTTAAAATAAATAAAAAAATCAAAATTAGTTTTCTTTTGCTACATATATTTGAGTTTTTTTATCTATTTATTTACATGTGTAATTTTGATATTTTTTTGAGAGATTATAATTGCCCTACCGTATTAATAAATGTTTCCATATTATTATTATATGATAATAATAACTTTAAAGACGTATATTTTTATAAATATCTTTTGCATTATACCCATTTTAATCCTTTTATCTCTCAATCTGTCCCTTTAGTTTTTTATTTTCTTATGAAAAAACAAATTTTTATTAAAAAATAAAACTACAAACTAATTTAATTCAAAACAAAACAAAAAGATGAAACCCAACACATTTAAAATTCAACCAAGAAGACAATTCGTAAATATATCTTAACCATTTATTAGAATCTTTCACACCAAAATTACGAGGAAAAAATTCCCTATAAAAGAGTAAAAGCAATTAACTGCAAAGCACAATTCATAATACAACAAAGTGTATCGCACGATTATTTTATAATATCCTTTTATATACTGTAACAAAAAAAATATTATTGTTTATATTGGGTTATTTAGAAATTTAATGCATTCAATAGAATCACTTTTTTTTTTAAGTTTAGAGACTAAGTTTAGTATAGCTTTCATATTAAATGTTTTTTTTACATCCATTTATTTAAAAATGAAGTA